ACCTCATTTATTGGACTTTATTTTTTCTAGGAACTTCGAAGAAGTGTTGTGCTAATTCAACTATACTAGCTGCATATCGATCTAAGACTGGATGGCTGTTTAATGACATAAATGGTTGTCATGAATTGAGAGCAGTATTTTCCAATATTTATTTATTACAGCAATTTTACTGTGCGAGAATTGTGGAAAACTAATTTTGAAAATATTATTAATCAGAGACAGTGTTTTGTCTTATGTGAGCACAGATGATATTATAAATAAGCCTGAATAAAGTGTTAATTTTTATTTTATTTTATGTTTTCTTTCTTCTTGATATTTTATTAGCGTTCTTTTTTTCTGCAAACACTTTACTAATCTTAGAAATTTATTATTTCTTTTTTTTATTTTCTCTACCTTTAATTTTTTTTTGCCTGCATTATCAGATTGTGTTAGCAATCGTTAGTCGTCTTCTGGTTTTGTTTTTTGGTTTTTTTGGATCAAATATGTCATGAATTTTCATAGCTTTATATGGTTTGTTCTTTCATTTACTTTTGGCCAAATGTTTGCTTACCGGGATGAAAGGCGGGGAGGGAGACAAGAAAAATTTCTTTTTGAAAACATTTGTTGTCTTTTAAATTTGAGGCATTATGGGGGCTCTAAAAACGGCACTAATCTTCTTCCTTTTATTCTTTTTTTTGTCTTTGGAAATGTTTTAATGGTTAGGAATAGTGAATGCTTAACTGTTACTAGCAATCGTTCGCTATTGTCAGCAGGGCTTTTCGTTTGCCTGTATTTTGCTTGAAATATAACTTTTTGTTGCGTGAACGATATAATTGAACGTATTACGATAAGGATTTGGGTTCTTCTGCTTCTAGCTGTCGTTTTTTCTCGACGTTTACTCCTGGTCGCTGCATTTTTCAAACATTCAGAAATATTTGACTTCAAAGTGAGACTTTTTAACTGAAGTAATACAAAGCAATGGACAGCAGTGAAGGAGCTAGGAGGCTTATGAATGAATTTTCATGATAACAGTAGTTCTTACAGCTAATATCTTGTGAGTTTTTTTTTTT